GCTTGTCTGGCAAATCTTGACAAGAATTCTTCCAACGACTGAGGCATTAATTGAAAGGAAGGTGTAGGTCATGCCCCGTTGTCCGGTCTGCTGGGCTTCAAGCGAGACAATGGAACATTTGTTCCTTGAGTGCCCTGTGGCTACGGCCCTGTGGGCGCAGGCGGGGCTGGACTCTCTTGGTGAGGGGTTGCCCCGTCATACTTTCCCCCTATTCCTCAAGAAATTGATGGCTGTTTTGCATCAACCTTCGCAGCTCATGGCGGTTATTGCTATTCTGTGGCGAATTTGGAGATCCTGAAATTGGGTGATCTTTGAAGGAAAACAGTTCAGCATTCAGGCTCTCATGAGACAGTATAACTAACAGGTAGGGGAGTGGCTCGGCTTGCCTAGGAACCCTCAGACTTCTCCTCCTCCCCTTTATGCTCTTCCTGCTGTGGACGTAAGTGGAGCAGGGGGACCTGTGTGTCGTTGGGATGGAGCTGTTCGACGTGGGTCGCACTCTGTAGGAGGTATGGTGATTCTCAACGAGGCAGGGCAACCGCTCTGGGTTGCGGGGGTTCAGTTTCCCAATCTGGATAATCCAATGGTGGTGGAACTCCTGACTCTTCGGGAAGCTGTTCGTTGGTGCTTGGCGCAAGGGTTTCAGGTCATGCGGTTTGAAGGCGATGCTAAGGTAGTTATTGAGAAGATCAACAGAGCTGATATGCATGACAGTCGGGTGGGGCTATTTTGGAGGAGATGATTCGCATCTTCAGGGGTAATCCGGGCTTTAATGTGCGATTTGTAGGTCGGGGTAACAATAGGGTAGCTCATTTGGTAGCTAGACAAGCCCTGTCTTTGTTCCCATCTATGTGTCGTTATTTTGATTTCCAGTCCTGGCTGGCTTTCAGGTTGTAACTATCGATTGGTTTCTATCAATTAATGATTATCTTTTGTAAAAAAAAAATACAATTAAACGTGGGAAGTGAATTCAAGTGTGTGTTATTAAAAATGACAAGACAGAAGTGGCAGATTATTATTTAATCTTAGCTATCTAATAAATGCATTAATTAATACATGATTTAAACCTCCCAATTCAACCATCTCTGCCCCAACGAGAACCAAAGTGCCCACATGCATGCAAGTAGCCAAGTACGTACGGCAATTCATCAATTAAGCGCTCATGAGGGAGTGACCGCCGTCGACCACAAGATTGATCCCGCTGACGTACTTGGAATCGTCACTCACAAGATTCAACGCCGCCTTCGCGACATCTTCGGCCCTCAACACAACACCCTTGAGGTTCCCTTTGGCCTTGAACGCCTCCTCGAACGCCGCCTCGTCCATCCCCGTGATGTCCATGCTCAGCGGCGTCGGCACCCCGAACGGCGAGATGCAGTTGACCCGGATCCCGAACTGCCCCAGCTCCACGCACAATTTCTTCGTCAGCCCCACCACGGCGTGCTTGGACGCCGTGTACGTGTGTGGAGCCATCCCGTAGCTGGCAGTGGCGGCACTGCCGGTCAGGAGGATGGCCCCACCATTACAGCTCTTCTCCATCACCCTGGCCGCGTGCTTTGCGGCCAGGAACGATCCGTAGACATTGACGTCGAACACCTTCCTGAAGACTTCGGGGGTGAGGGAGGAGATGCGGAGGTCGTTGGGAGTGATCTTCTGCCCCGATATCCCGGCGTTGCTGTACATGATGTCCAGCTTCCCGTGCATCGAAACGGCAGTGTCCACCGCGTTTTGCATGTTGGTGTCGCTCGTCACGTCGCATTGGACGTAGGTCACGGGCTGGCCGGACTCGGATCGATCTCCTTGCAGAGAGTGTGACCGAGTTCCGATGGCTGGATGTCGGCTATCAGGACTTTGGCGCCGTGTTGGGAGAAGAGCCTGGCCGCCGCGGCTCCCAGCCCCATGGCTCCGCCGGTGATCACCGCTACCTTGCCTTGTAAGCGTTTCCCCGCCATTGCACAGTTGAGGTTTCTGGACGGCTAGCTTTTTTTTTTTTTTTTTTTTTATGGAACATGATAGGATTGATGGATGGAGGAACCGTTTACGTAAATATAATACAATGGATCTGGGCCATCTGGCTGGCCTGCCGGATGCCGGATGCCGCAGTCCGTCAGTCTCCATGTCAAGTCATAGTCTTTGAACATGTACGAATAGTATATAGTCTTTGAACGCATTTATTACGTGGTTTACTAACACAGTATGTTAGTTAGTTTACAGATAAAATAGAGTCCATTTCAATATATTTGAAGCTATACATATTACAGAGCGATTGTGAAGTATATAGTACTTTTCTAGATTGCCTAATCCTATCCCAAGCTGGTAAAAAACAAAGTTACTAGCCAACCTTAGAATAGAAATTCAAGCGAGTATAAGCTTATATATTGTCTATAGGTGAGACCTCACAACTTTTAGTCGATGACATATAATGCGATTCAAGGCATGTCAAAAACAAAATTAAGCTGACTGTAACATACTAAAACCCCATAAATATTATCACTCTAATATTGTAAGGAACTAATATAAGATCAATATTATAATAAAAAAATATAAGATCAATATTTTGTATATCTCATAACTTTTCAGATTAATATTGTAATCAATTGGTACTTAATATCAAAACATTTGACCTTGTTTTTTTGGTTGGAAGAACACCAAAAGCAATATAAGATTTTTTTCCCGGTCTTTTAACCAAACGCATTATTGTAATCCATTAGATGCTCGAATATACGGTGACCAGCTAGGGTATAATTAACAAATAAAACAAAGGATCTAAATTTTGTAGCAAAACAATATGGATAAGGGGCAAGAACTTTTTTCAATCAAGAGACATTTCAATTCACGTATGCCGCCGTAACCACACCTCAGTGACTTGAATTCAAGGTGTTGAATGGATCGGTCACCATGGCGATTTAAATGTTCACTCAACCCAATAAATCGGGTCACCTTTATAAATTTCTTATGTTGCTGGCTGATGTATAGGCTCACGGTATTTGACTATCTTCACAACATACTCAGACGTGTTCTCAATACTTCGTAATCACGTCGTGGTTGGCTGCTAGTGATTCAGCATATGAACAAAGCCAAAGAAAAGGTGACGAGATATATATCAAAAGAATGTATATACTATGTCAGTACACAGCCAAAAATCGAAACAGTCGACCCGGTCAAAAGCGGGTTGAATATGATGATGAGTTTTGGATCGAGAGCGAGTTTTAATTACTTTTGTAATTGGAGGGTTGGACGTGAAATTTGTTAAAACTCTACCCGCTTTTCGTTCAATCCGCACACAAACAAAATTATAAAAATAAAATTCCTTTTGAGAACCCATTTCTACCATGAGATAGTGTATAGATAGTCTTTCAAACTATTATCTAATAAATCAATAATAGCTTTAACATTATTCCAAATTTCTAAATTTATGAACCGCCGCATAGCACGGGCTAGTTATATAATCATTAGTTATGTCTTTCATTTTTTTTTTTGTGTGTGGGAGCTATGTTTTCTCATTAAATTATTTTTTTATTACACATTGTTTTGGTCATACACCTTATAGCTTTTTTGTTCGTAGACAAAGCTGATTCCGAATTATCATTCATTTCAAGGATGACTTTCGTCAAGGGTATCTTCCGAATTTCCTCTACCATTTTCGTAGGAAAAGAACTCTCCATCACCGCTTCATCCCATTTCTCCAGGTCCTCATCTATCAAATCTCTCACCGTGGCATCCACTGGCAGTCCCATGGGTGCAGACTGAATAATAAACCCCGGTGTTGACAGAAGCCAACGATCCCCCCATATCTTCACAGACGAGCCATTCCCAATCTGGCATCGTACTCCATCCACCAAAAATTCTTGAGCGCTCATTAGGCTCCGGCATACATAGCTTGGGCGATAGCCAATACTCGCATCCAGAATCGAAGTTTTCTTGTGGTATTTTGCCTTCAATAACCGTGCAATGAGGGAGGACAGGCGCTGAAACAGGTTCCACAGTTGACGCGCATATTACGGGCTTTCGTGCTAGTTATATAATCATTAGTTATGTCTTTCATTTTTTTGCGTGTGTGTGTGGGAGCTATGTTTTCTCATTAAATTATTTTTCTATTACACATTGTTTTGGTCATACACCTTATAGCTTCCTTGTTCGTAGACAAAGTTGATTCCAAATTATCTTTCATTTCAAGGATGACTTTTCTCAACATTTTATAAATTGGGAATCGACTTCACTATCTTAAGTTCTTAACTGACTAACATGTATTATTTACGACAAAAACTAGCACATATCTGATGTATATAATACATGCTTATGTTCACAAATATTAGGTGCATTTTATATACTTTGATGAATCAGATTTATCGATTATCATTATTTTGATTAAATTGATCTTATGGATTTGGTTTAGAAATTAGGAATTGAGGGTCATCAATTAAAAGTTATGAAATAATATCATGTCTAAAACTTTGATGAAGTCATTATTCAAATAACAAAATTGGGCATAAGATAAATACAATAGCCTAAACCATTATTTAAATGAAGAACTTAAAACTATTATGTTGAATATTATTATTCGAATTAACCAAGCTATAAACTGGTCCTTGTTTAATGACATGCATTAGGATCTCATATGAGAGCTCAAAAATATTTCTCGAATAATGATTACAACAACACAATAGACCTTTTTGCCTTTGCTGTCATTTTCATTGCTATTTCTGGCGGTCTTCGTTCCTTTTTGCAATAAAAGTTTTCGTATCATCATTAATAAAAAAAAACACAAAAGACCAAAAAATCCAAAATAATTTGATTATCATAAGAAGTGATATAAATGTTAATGATAAACAAAACTCATTCGTCCAACGAATCCGTAACAAAGCTTGTACAAATACATTCACACAAGCCTTGACTAAAGATTAATTCCATATATGGATGATCATTCTCCTTTGCTTTTTATTTTTTTTTATTTTAACTGCATGAAGTGACTCTTGGCTCTGAAAGAAACATGGAAGACGTCATAACGAACTCTGGCTGGGAACAAGAAGCAGAGGTCGTTCCTTCTCCAACGTGGTCCCGAACTTCTCACTCATATCCAACTCCGTCGGATCTTCTCCATTGGAAAGGCACCAATCGAAGCTTCGAACCAAAGCAGCCAAAACCAATGGAATTTTTCGGGTGGCCAATGATACTCCAGGGCACATCCTCCTCCCAGCGCCGAACGGTAACAACTCGAAATCTTGCCCTCTAAAATCCACCTTCGAACCAATGAACCTCTCCGGCTTAAACGAGGAAGGGTCATCCTCCCACACCGTCGGATCCCTAGAAATAGCCCACACGTTGACCAAAACCTGAGCCCCTTCAGGGATCGTGTAATTCATCACCTCGCAAGTCTCCTGCGCTCGATGCGGCAGTAACAACGGCGCCGGAGGGTGTAACCTCAGCGTCTCCTTCACAATTGCGCTCAAATATGGAAGCCGAGATACTTCAGATTCGTCGATTAGCGGTTTTCCCTCGAGCAGTGGTGACAATTCAACCTTCAGCTCCTCCCGCAGCTTGTCCATCGCTCCTTTGTTTCGAATCAGCTCGGCCATCGCCCATTCTATTGTTGCCACGCTAGTATCCGTACCGGCGGAGAACAATTCCTGCAAGAAAACCAGAGGAAAATCAAAGCTCCAAATTGTAGCGTAATCCTTCTCATAATAGGCAGAAAAAAAAGTAGCAACAATCTCAATTAGCTCCTTTGCAAAGCTAAGCTCAAGATAATTAATCTTGTTGTGTGTGTAAACCACAAAATCGAATTGACATTTTTTTTTCTTTCTTTTGAACTTACGAGAGTCAACCAGTCAATCTGGTCATCATCGAGTCCATTTTCCAGGAAAACATCCAAGAAATCTTCAACACCAGATCGCTCTCGCCCCCGCCGTCGCTCCCTCCTCTCTGTGACGTAAGGCTGCCAGACGGAGTAGAGCTCATTGCAACAGCGAAACATCTCGCGTCTCAGCCCCTGAGGATCCATTTTCCTCAGAACTGGAAAAAATTCGGCGAGATTAGTTTTAGTCCCCAGTTCCATCATCCTCCAAATCAGCGACTTCAATCGCTTCGCAGTCTCGCTGCTGCTTTCGAACCCGATGCAATCTCGCGAGAACATGAGATTCGACAGCGAGTCGAAGATGGCAGCGAAAACCACTTCGCCGATACGAACCGGCTCCCCTAATTTTCCATCAAGATATTCCACCATCTGGGCGACCTTCCTCTCCCTGACGGAGGCCTGAGATTCGATCGCCCTCGCGGAGAATATCTGGTTCCTGAACATTGATCGGAAGGCCTTCCAACTGTCATTGTTGCAGTTGGAAGACCAGACGATCGCCTTACGGTCGAGCTCTGCCGTGTCGTAAGGCACGATGGTGGCTACGTATCTGGCGGAGAGGAGGCGGTCGTGGTTTCTCAAGATTTCTGCGGCGGCGGCTGGGGAGGAGGCGACGATGAGGAGCTGGGTGCCGAGGCGGAGGGAGATGAGAGGGCCGTGGAGGTGGGAGAAGCGTTGGAGGGAGACGTGAATTTGCTTGCCGAGGTGAGGGATGTTGCCTATTATCGGCCATGGTTTTGGGCCTGGCGGCAGCCGGTGTTTGGAAGCTGCAGAGGTGGAGAGAAATCGGGAAGCGGTGATAGCGATAAGGATGGTGATGGCGAAGGTGAGGAGAAGAAGATAGAGTACCATTTTTTTTTTTTTTTTGTCCGGAGGTTTGATTTTGATAAGTTGATATGCGTTGTTATTAGACTAGAGATAGTATTTTGCTGGCCATTTTATTTATAGAGCCATCGGTTCAGTCACTTCGTGGCAACTTACAACCAAAATGAAATAGTATTTTGTAATAAAAGAAAAACACTATCCGAGTATGGCGAAATTCTGGAATTGCTCTGCAAGTTCAGTGGCAATAGTATGATGTCCAGGTTCATAAGAAAACAAATAAGTTAACAGTATATGTAGTGCAGGAAAAAAATTGGGGGACGCTCTCCCCAAGCAAGTGGGTGACGAAAGGGAACCAAATAGAATGAACTATTTCAGTTGGTGTATTCTTCCATGTTAATTTTTTTGATAAGGGTGATCCGTGACATAGGTTTCATTTTGTTATCATTAAGATACTAATTAAGAGATTCGAACCTGGAACCTTCAAGTTCTAGGCTGGTAGTATTACAACTAAACCAAACTCTTGTTCGTGTACTCTTCCATGTTAATTATAAGTACCAACTAACGTTTGTATATGTTCTTATATATGTTTGTATGATATGTACAAAACAATTAATGATATCACAAAATCTAAAATTTGAGAGGAAAATCCTTTTCTTTTGTTGGCTAATATAATGATGACAATACCATGTTAAGAAGCTTCATGTTCTTTACTCTTTATGCTTAATAAATTGACATTTTAAAATTGCTTACTTGGATTTTATTTACATATAATATGAAAAATTGAAGTGGGTAATCGATACAAGTTGCATATCATGTGTATAGTTTTGTTAACTTTTTTTCTTTTAATCAGTCGCTTTGCAGAGTTATAGCTACGAATAACTAGACATGATAGGAACTTGTAAAATTTTAATAAGAACTAACAAACAAAACATACAATCCTCATCATTTTTTCGTATAGTCGAGATCTCGAAACTGTGACCATGGGATGGGATAAACACACAATTCAGATGATCAACTGCACGGTAAAAAAACGATGACCACGAACAAATCGGTACACGCAAAACTACTCTAGAGCAAACAAAACTAGAGGGAAAAAACTTTGCCATCTTGTAGGCTTTTCCCCCTTGAAAGAAGAGTCTTACCATGCAACAACAAAATAAAGGACTAAGGCACGAATATGGAATCTTATAAATCAACTATTAATATTAGCAGTCAATAGGTATAACAATTTGAATACAATATCTTTACCTCATCAATCATAACATATTACTTATATATATATTACCAAAAGAATAAAACGCTTTCAATCAAAAGACCTTTCAATTTAAGTATCCCGTTGCGGCCCAAATCATGATTTGACTGGTGGGACTGAATGGATCGGATCACCATGCCGACTTAAATGTTCATTCTCACTCAACACAATGGATAAGTTCACCATGACGACTGAAATGTTCACTCAACACAATGGATCGGGTCACCTTGACCAATTTCTTATGTTGGTGACCGATGTACTCATTCATAAACACAACAAATAAGCCAACGAAATTTGACCCACATGAGCTCACAACATACTCAGATTGGTCATGATGTGTTCTTAATATACTTCATAATCAGGTCACTGTTGGCTGCTATATTATTGTTTAATGTACTCCACAAAATCTGGGTAATTGTTGCCCTCTGACGCACGCTGCTGGCTGCTAGCTAGTGATTCAGCGTATATATGAACAGCCAAATAAATATAGCCGTTTCTAAAAAAAATTAAAAAAAAGCCGCTACCACGTGAAAGGTGACGACTGACGAGATATAACCTTATAAGAAATAAAGGTGACGAGATATATATTAGAAGAATGAATATATATGAAATACTAGAATAAGTCCGCACGTTATTGCCTCGTGTCTGAGCGAGTATCTAATATTTTAAAAATTAATAGTTTGAATTTTGACACAAAAGTAAAGGGTTTGTGATCTACAACTATATGTAGTCGACTCAACGATAAACTTTAATAAGAGAAATAGTCGTCGAGCAAATGATTTCTATGTTTAAGTTGGAACGTGTTCAAGTTGTTTTGATCATATTGAATAGGTGGATACTGGATACCCATAGGTTTGGGTGCTCAACTAAAAGGAAAAAGATAAATGATAAACACTAAAACAGATAAACTCGCTCCATACCAAAAACTTCACACACCGAGCTCAACTCACCTTGAGTGGTTCGGACCGAGTTTTTAACAATTCACACTCGGCTCAACATGCCAATTCTAAAAGCAGATAAAATGCACTTTCGATACAAAACTCATTAGCACTGTGTCTGAGTTCAATTGTCATTCTCATCCAAAAGAAAAAGGAGAAATAAAAATTATTAAAGCGCACAAAAATCGCTCTCACTCCAAAATTTGTGCAACTCGCCTTGACCCAGTCGAATCGAGTTCTTAAGAAATTCACACTCAGCCCAACTTGCCAACTACAAACACGGATATAACTCTCTCTTGATACAAAACTCGTCAATACCATGGGTTAGGCCTCAATTGTCACTCTCAGACAATTGTTTAATGTACTCGACAAAATTTGGAAATGGTTACCCTCTTACGCACCCTGTTGGCTGCTAGTGATTCAGCATATGAACAAAGTCAAAAACAAATACCGCCGCCACATCGGACATGAAAGGTGACGAGATATAAATCAGGAGAATATATGTACCATGTCTATGTAGACGACGACAACAATAACGATAACAATAAATACCAACGAGCCATCGTCGATCAAACAAACCAAACAAAGTTAGAACAGAGAAAACAAGATCATTAGAGATTGAGAGAAGTGATCGATGGGTGAGAAAGTGGTAGAGGTTGGGGAGCTGATGATGGTGAATGACTATTATTTCATCATCCCAATTAGTGTCGCAATCTTGATCACCATTCTTTCCATCTTCATAATAATGAAAAGGACATTAGGGTCCTCGAAATCAGCCGGCGGTGAGAGGACTCCACCGGGGCCATGGAAGCTGCCGATCATCGGGAATCTCCATCAGCTGGCAATCGGCTCCTCCCTCCCACATCGGCGGCTAGGGGAGCTGGCCCGACAGTACGGTCCTCTGATGCATCTTCAGCTCGGCGAAATCTCGACGGTGATTGTGTCCTCGGCAGAATGGGCCAAAGAGTTCATGCAAACCCACGATCTCAACTTCGCCAGCAGGCCCTTCATCCCAGCTGCCAACATCATCTTCTACGGCGGCCGAGACATCGGGTTTTCCCCTCACGGGCCCTACTGGACAAAGATGAGGAAAATTGTTGCCATGGAGCTTTTGGGCGCCAGACGTACCAAGATGTTGCGGCCCATCATGGAGCAAGAGATGGCGAAGCTCGTGGGCCTGATCAGCACGAAGCCCACCATCAACCTCACTGAGATGATGCTCTCCTTGGGCAACTCCATCACCTGCCGTGCCGCCTTTGGCAAGATTCAGAAGCAAGAGGAAGTTTTCTTGCCGTTCATCAAACAGTTCATGAAGATGCTGGGAGGGTTCAGCCTTGTCGACCTCTTCCCTTCCAGTAACTTGTTGCGCCTACTCGTTGCTAACGCAGCCGAGAAAAAGCTGAAGAAGGTTCACTCGGCGGCCGATGCTATCATGGAAACTATAATCAACGACCGTTTAGCTAAGAGATCATCAACAGTGGCAGCTGGTGGAAATGACGATGAAGATCTTCTTGGTGTTCTTCTCAATCTTAAAGACACTGACGACTTGGGCTTCACTGAGATTAAAGCTGTCATCCTCGTAAGTCACTTGTTAATTCGATTAATTGTGTATTGATCGATCGCTTGACGATGACATATAATATTATTGCAGGACATGTTTTTGGCTGGATCTGATACGTGGACCATTACCGTCGAATGGGCAATGTCTGAACTCATGAAGCATCCGAGAGTCATGGAGAATGCGCAAAGAGAAGTGAGGAAAGTTTTTAACGGGAAAGGTGTGGTTGATGAGGCATCTATCGATCGGCTACAATATCTGCAATTAGTTTTAAAAGAAACTTTGAGACTGCATCCTCCTGGTCCTTTGGCTATTCCAAGAGAAAGTAAGGAGACACTTAGGGTCAATGGATATAAAATACCGGCAAAGACAAGGGTCTTCGTCAATCTATGGGCCATCAACAGAGATCCGCACCATTGGACCCAACCCGAAGTCTTTGAACCTGAGAGGTTCCTCAACAGTTCTGTTGATTTCAGGGGAACCGACTTCCATTACCTCCCATTCGGAGCTGGACGACGGATGTGCCCGGGAATGCATTATGGGCTCGCTTTGGCTTATCTTTCTCTCGCCAATTTGATTTATCATTTCAACTGGAAGCTTCCTCACCAAATGAAACCCGAAGAACTAGACATGAGCGAAAGATTTGGCATCGAAGTGAAGAGACAAAACAATTTAATTCTCATTCCCACACCATACCATCCCAGATAAACTAGCTAAACCCGGTCTACACTACTCAGGGAACACAATATTTTATTTAATAAAATTTGAAACTTGAAATGTTGCCCCCCATATATGATATATATCCATCCCACCACATGAAATCAATGACATATAATAAAAACCTGGTTTAGTTTCAATACTCTACATGCAATTTGTTGGTTCTCGTGGAAAGAAAGAAATTTCAGAATATTTGAAGGAAGAGCTCAGACGAGTAAAGCAATTAATCTCAACATCATTACTGCATGGTTCAGTGGCTACAAGCAACCTGGAAGATTGAGGGAACCCAAGCTGAAGGGTTGTTTACTAATTACTTTGCTCATATGGTTTTGGCTGAGTAGTTTTTCCCTCATGTGTGTATGTTTCAATAGTTTTGTGTGGTTCTACTGGTCGATGTTTTGACCTTTTGTTGGGGCTGTCTCTTGCCCTTTTCTTTGTTTAGTTTTCTCTTTGACCAAGGATCCTTATTCTCATAAATAATGAAAATAAGCTCTTTTCCTTGTGTCTTTTTTGAGTTTGTACATTGACTCTTTGTGGTTCTTTAATTTAAGTTCTTATCGTCATAATCTAAGAAATATAACACATGGCTCGTCCTTATTTTCTTAGATGGCTGGTAAGCTAATTAAGCAACAAACTAAATTGCTAAATTCACATGGTGTTGCTAAAATCATATTTGCGAAGGAAGACCATGTTCCAACACTAGAGCAGTATAAGATGGACGCATGTGTCATTACTCATAAGTGGTTTCCCCATCCCATATGCACATCTGCTTTCGTAATCATTAATCATTCACCTTTGTGTCTAATTGCAATAGGTTCAAATTACGACAAATGGAGTTCTAAGTAAACTAAGTTCATGGTCACGGATATAATTGTATAAATTTTTTCAAACATTACTAATGAAGTGAACATTCATATTTTTAGTTATAAGTATATTGAAGAATATGCTACACATTAAAATACCTATTTAACTTTTTTATGTAATTAACTTGACTATTGAACAAAACGTAGTAGAAAGTTGAGTTTGAATTCCATTTTTGATTTATTCTAATTATCTCAAATATATTGTGTGTTTATAATCAGAGATATTATTAATTAATTTTTACTAATTTATTTTATTCTTGTTTTCTTATTTGCAATACTTACGAAAAATTTAGCCTCTTCTACTTTCAAATCCTGACACCGCCCCTATTTGTTGGATATTTCCTCCTTAAGACGTTGCGCTGGTTGTGTCATCTGTATTGGCCTCTTTCCCTTCTTTTCTTTGTATCTTCTTTTCTTTTCTTTTCTTTACACCGTTGATGTATATTTCTTTGGTAATGAATGTAGGATCATATGAGGCTGGGCTTAGCTAGTATTTTTGGGGTGCCTGTTGAAGGTTGAACAGGAGCAGCAGCTTTGAAGAATCCGAATCCTTTCTGGAGAAGGATTACTTAAGGCGCCAAGTTTAAAGTTTGAATGGAATAAAGGAAAACGCCGCCGTTTCAGTTAGAACCATAAGTGAGAGAGTGGGGGATCGTGCAA